AGTCGTGCCCTTCCTGAGCTTCTGTTTCAGTGGTGTTCTGGCTGTGAGTAATGCACGTTAACTCATCTCTCAGCAGGAGCCGTGTCTAGAGGGAAGAATTTTGATGAAGAAAGCAATGCTTCTCTGAGCACTGCAAGGGATGAAACCCGAGATGGGTTCTACATGGAGGATGGAGACCCTTCAGTAGCTCAGCTCCTGCACGAACGAACGTTTGCCTTCTCGTTTTGGCCTAAGGTTGGCGTGGTGTTGTTGTTGACCAAAAAAGAGTAGAGAAGGGAAGAAATCTTTCTAGCTTGAATTTTTTCAAATAGTCTTAAACTTTGACACAGTGCATAAAAACTGTAGATTATTCTTGTTTTTAAAGAATGATCTAGGAAAGCTTGAAGAAAAGTCTGTAGAATACTTTTCTAATAATACAGAAAAAGTGACATGAAAGAGAAATAATGAGAGAGAAGACTGTTTTTATGGTGCTTTGTTCCTTGTGGCTTGTTACGTTTGTCACGCACGTCAGCCAGTGTCGTCTAGATTATTGCTTCAGCCGACGCACCCTTCGGCAGACTAAAACGTGTGGACCTTTAAAGCTGTTTGTTTTATTTTATTTTAATCTGAAGCAGAACTTTCGGATTTAAGACAATGTCATGTATTTGGAAACCTACAGTCTTCTTCACTTGGGAGAGGGAGGGTGGGCTATTGGCCCATTTGCTCCAGAGAATTGGGGGATAATTCAAATGTAGTAATCTGTAACCAAAAGCAAACTAGAAATTACTTTTTCAGCCTAAATAGCATAATTTTATAATAAACCCCTATGTAATTTGGGTCTGTTTTCAGGCTGGGAGCTAATCATCCTAATCACCATAACAGGGCTTAAAACAACACAAGAAGCAGGCTTCAGCAGCCTCCTTCCTCCCTGGCCAGTTGGTTGTTTAAGAAACAGGATGAAGTTGTTGACTGAAGAATGTCCTGTCAAAGACGTTTTTTCTGTGTTAGGCCCCTGTGGTTCTCCAGTGAGGCTAACGTCCCTGACTGAGTACAGAAGGGAGTTTTGAAGAGCAATCAAAAGGTTTACGGTAGCAAGTACTTTCAATCTGTGGACCTTGGTCTAAGAGCTGTAATTTGAAATTTTAATGTACACGCTTCAATGAAATTTGGAATGATGATAGGTAGGGAACGCAGATGACATTCATTAGGTGTTCCTAGGTTGGTGCTCATTTCATAATGCTGGACTTTATTAATAGTGACGCTAATGACGTCCCACTTCCTGGGACAGGCTGCCGGCGAGCCCGTGGGCCTGAAACGCCAGAGCGTGAAGAAGCTAAAGGCAGGGCTTCAATTGGCACGTACTAATGCTCAAACAAAAGTTACTCTTAAAATATGGGGGTATTTTGAATTTGGCTGTTCTTGAATATGTGTTCTCTTTTATGTGGTTAAATGTTCATAATTGAAAAATAGTTTTCTATGTTGGGGCCACCTAAGAACTTCTGCCAGAGCAAAGCAGTTTTTTGTGGGTTTTGTTTATTTGCTTGTTTGCTATATTGTCTTCTGCTTTTTGCCCACCAATTTATTTTTAAGCCTTCCATGCTGCTTAGTATCTTGCTGGCTAAGTACATCCAGGAACTTTAACCAGGTCTTTGTAACAGTTTCGTGCGACTTGTCTTTTCCCTGCAGGATCGAGTCATGATAAACCGATTAGACAGCATCTGTGAAGCAGTGCTGAAAGGCAAATGGCCAGTCAATCGGCGCCAGATGTTTGATTTCCAGGGGCTCCTCCCCGGTTGCACATCCACCTCTGTGGACAGCCCCCTGCAGAAGAGGAGCTTCGCGGAGCTCTCCATGGTGGGTCACACCAGCATCGGGGGGAGTGAGGACATCACGTCTTCTCCTCACTTATCGAAGGTGAGCCTCCATGGCGTCTTTGACGTGAAGGCCAGCTCTCTAAATCTTAACCCAGTGTGGAAGCTTGTGTGTAGCTGGTGCCACTGAGAAATAAGGAAGCTACTGGTTCTCCAGCTTTATCCGCTTCTGTGACTTCTCCCCGGTCAGAACTGTTGAATTCCTCAGGCTTCTTGTTTTTTATTTCTAAAATAGCCAGTATATCAGATACCGCTTTGGCTCATTGCAACTCTCTCTTGGAATTTCTCAACAGGAAGACACACTCAGTCTGTCAGTCCCGCGCCAGCGGCGGCGGCGGAGGAGGAAAATCGAAATTGAGGCCGAAAGAGCTGCCAAGCGGCGAAACCTCATGGAGATGGTTGCCCAGCTGCGGGAGTCTCAGGTGGTCTCAGAAAACGGACAAGAGAAAGTTGTAGATTTATCAAAGGCCTCAAGAGAGGCAACAAGTTCTACCTCAAATTTTTCATCTCTTACTTCAAAGTTTATCTTGCCGAATGTCTCCACACCAGTCTCTGATGCCTTTAAGACTCAAATGGAACTGCTCCAGGCAGGCCTGTCACGCACACCTACGAGGCATCTGCTTAACGGCTCCCTAGTGGACGGAGAGCCTCCCATGAAGAGGAGGCGGGGAAGGAGGAAAAATGTGGAGGGCCTTGACCTGCTTTTCATGAGCCACAAACGGACATCGTTGAGTGCAGTAAGTCAGGGGCCCCTGCCCGCGCCGTGGGCCGAGGTTGCAGCACAGACAGGGTGTTAAAGTTGGCTTCTTGTGTTACTGAAAGAGAATTACGGTGAACAGAGTTGTGGTTCTGAGCTGGAAGATTGGGCTGATAATTGATAGACCACTAAGACTGAACCAAGTTTATCTTAACGATTTATTCTTTTCAAGGTTCTGATATGTTGGTTGCTTTCGGAAGAGTGGCCCAGAGCAAAAACACGTTTTTCTGAGCCTAAGATTGTTGTCTCTGAATTTTTGAGGTGGAAAAAGCTTCTGCTCTTAAAAATATTGATTTGCTTTGGGCTTGGCATCTATTAGATTACCGTAAATGTGTAGTTTTAGCTAGGAATTGTGTGGATATACACAGCTAGGGATGCCAAATGTTCTGACCTTCAGGAAAACTAGATATTTTAAAAACCTGGACTGAAAAAGGGCCTCTGCCAGTTTAGATTTGAAAGAAATGTGTATGCCAATGGATTTTAATGTTTTCTTTTCAAATTCAAAGGAAAGGAATGCCGTGTAACCAAAATAATTGTCTTCCCTAACCTGCTACAACCATGCCATCTAAAAATGTGCAAGGATTTTACCCCAAAGAACATGTGTTCTTGTTAAAGGCTCACTTGGTACTAGAGTTCCTGACCTTATCGATGGGAAACCCGAGTCCACAAGTGGCCCTGGAGCATTGACTTGTCTGGTTGTAAGGCAGATAGGGCGCTTGGGGCACCTCTGTAGATGAGCCCCAACGGGCTTTCCCTTGGGCAACAGAACACAACACAATTTGACAGTTTGGAAAACACTCACATTTGCAATTCACGGGAGATAATCGTTTGTTTAAGGTGTTTTTTCTTATACCATCCCTTTCATTATTTGTCTTGTCTGTTTCTTGAAACTAGAGAAAGGTTCTTAAAGGGATAGGAAGCTCAGTAACTTCAAACCAAACCACTTGCCATCCTGTCAGTTCTGACTCATGGAGACCCCATGTGTGTCGCAGTAGAACTGTGCTCCATAGGGTTTTCAGTGGCTGATTTTTCAGCAGCCCATCACCACGGCTTTCTTCCAAGGTGCTTCTGGGTGTGTTCAGCAACCTTTCCGTTCGTAGTTGAGCGCTTGATCATTTGTGCCGACCAGGGATTCCTTCAGTCGTTTAAAGGGGTAGGAAAAGACATGGCTGAGTCTAAGCCCAGAAATGATAAAATATAGTATTCACTGAAATTTGTCTGACTCGTACCGGTGCCTAATTAAAACAGAAGCATCCAAGTAGCTAAAAGTAAAATTTCAAAGTTGACTACCAATGCACCAGTCATAATTAAGGTCATTTTTGTTGGTCATAGGATTATTATTAGAATCTTAAAAAATGTGTCTGGTGGTGGATCAGCTGTGACACCTGTTCCAGAAGTTAAAATGCCATTTCTAGCTGTGTGGTCCTCAGACATCACTGATCACTGGTGATGAGCCTTCTGCCTGAAGTCATCCTAATACCCTGATATATTTTATTGACTGAAAAATCCTTTCTCCATAAACATCAACAAATTGGGGAGTTTCTACAGCTGACACGTTTTTTCATTTACTATCGTTTTTAGTTTCAGAGTCTTTTCTGACATCCATTTTGGTCTTTTTTTTTTTTTCTTTCCTGTCTCCTGTCTTTTTAATGACCTTTTGTTTTCCTCATGTATGATGTCCTTGATGTCATCCCACAACTCGTCTGGTCTTCAGTCATTAGTGTTCAATGCATCAAATCTGTTCTTGAGATGGTCTCTAAATTCAGATAGGATATACTCAATCAACATTATACTTTGGCTCTTATAGATCTGTTTTAATTTTCTTCAGCTTCAACTTGAACTTGCATATGAGTAATTGATGGTCTGTTCCGCAGTCAGCCCCTGGCCTTGTTCTGACTGATGATACTGAGCTTCTCCATCGTCTCTTTCCACAGATGTAGTCGTTTTGATTCCTGTATATTCCATCCGATGAGGTCTACGTGTATAGTCGCTGTTTATGTTGTTGAAAAAAGGTATTTGCAATGAAGAAGTCATTGGTCTTCCAAAATTCTGTCATGCAATCTCCGGCATCATTTCTATCACCAAGGCCATATTTTCCAACTACCAATCTTCTTTGTTTCCAACTTTTGCATTCCAATCACCAGTAGTTATCAATGCTTCTTGATTGCATGTTCAATCAGTTTCAGACTGCAGAAGTTGGTAAAAATCATCAGTGTCTTCATCTTTGGCATTAGTGTTTGGTTTGTAATTTTGAATAATAGTTGTATTAACCGGTTTTCCTTGTAGGTGTATGGATATTATCCTATCACTGACAGCATTGTACTTCAGAATAGATCTTGAAATGTTCTTTTTTGATGATGAATACAATGCCGTTCCTCTTCAATTTGTCATTCCCAGCATAGTATACCATATGATTGTCCAATTCAAAATGGCCAATACCAGTCCATTTCAGCTCACTAATGCTTAGGATATCAATGTTTATATGTTCCGTTTCATTTTGACAGCTTCCAGTTTTCCTTGATTCATACTTTGTACATTCCACATTCCGGTTATTAATGCATGTTTGCAGCTCTTTCTTCTCATTTTGTGTCATGCCACATCAGCAAATGAAGGTCCCAAAAGCTTGACTCCATCCACATCATTAAGGTCAACTCTACTTTGAGGAGACAACTCTTCCGCAGTCATATTTTGAGTGCTTGACAACCTGAGGGGCTCATCTGATACTGTATCAGACAATAATGGATGTCAGAAGAGACTCTGAAACTTGTTCTTGAATGTAGAGTAGCTAAAGCAAAAGGGAGAAATGATGAAGTAAAAGAGTTGAACAGATGATTTGAAAGGGTAGATCGAGAAGACAAAGTATTATAATGAAATGTGCAGAGACCTGGAGTTAGAAAACCAAAAGGGAAGAACATGCTCTGCATTTCTCAAGCTGAGAAAGAACTGAAGAAAAAATACAAGCCTCGAGTTGCAATTTTGAAGGATTCTATGGGCAAAGTATTGAATGACACAGGAAGCATCAAAAGAAGATGGAAGGAATACACAGAGTCACTGTACCAAAAAGAATTTGTCCCTGTTACACCTTTTCAGGAAGTAGCATACGATCAAGAAATGATGGCACTGAAGGAAGAAGTCCAAGCTGCACTGAAGGCATTAGTGAAAAACAAGGCTCCAGGAATTGACGGACTACCAATTGAGATGTTTCAACAAACAGATGCAGCACTGGAAGTGCTCTCTTGTCTTGCCAAGAAAATTGGAACACAGCTACCTGACCAACTGAGAGGAAGTGAACCATATTCGTGCCCGTCCTAAACAAAGGTGATCTAATGCAATACGAAATTATCGAGCAATATCATTAATATCACATGCAAGTACAGTTATGCTGAAGATCATTCAGAAACAGTTGCAACAGTACATCCAGAGAACTGCCAAAAATTCAAGCCTGATTCAGAAGAGGATATGGAATGAGGGATGTCATTACTGATTTCAGATGGATCTTAGCCGAAAGCAGAAAATACCAGAAAGACTTTGTCTTAGTTATCTAGTGCTGCTATAACAAATACCACAAGTGGGTGGCTTAAACAAACAAATCTATTTTCTCACAGTTTATGAAGCTAGAAGTCTGAATTCAGAGCACCTGCTCTAGGGGAAGGCTTTTTCTTTCTGTTGGCTCTGGAGGAAAGTCCTTGTCTCTTCAGCTTCTGCTTCCTGGTTCCTTGGAGATCTCTATGTGTCTTTGCATCTATCTTACCCCACACCCTACTCTAATTCTATCCATTAACATAACAAAGACCCATTCCCAAGTAGGATTATAACCACAAACATAGAGGTTTGGATTTACAACACACATTTTTGGGAGACACAATTCAATCCATAACAGATGTTTACCTGTGTTTTCTTGACCATGCAAAGGCATTTAACTGTGTGGATCATAACAAATTATGGATAACATTGTGAAGAATGGGAATTCCAGAACACTTAATTATGCTGTTGCAGAACCTGTACATAGATCAAGAGGCAGTCATTCGAACAGTACAAGGGGATACTGCATGGTTTAAAATCAGAAATTGTGTGTGTCAGGGTTATATCCTTTTACCATACTTAGTCTGTATGCTGACCAAATAATCCAAGAACCTGGACTGTTTGAAGAAGAACGCCGCATCAGGATTAGTGGAATACTCATCAACAACCTGCGATATGCAGGTGACACAACCTTGCTTGCTGAAAGTGAAGAGGACTTGAAGCACTTACTGACGAAGATCAAAGACTACAGCCTTCAGTATGGATTATGCCTCAACATAAAGAAAACTAAAATCCTCACAACTGGACCAATAAGCAACATCATGATAAACAGAGAAAATAATGAAGTTGTCAAGGATTTCATTTTACTTGGATCCACAATCAACGCCCATGGAAGCACCAGTCAGGAAATCAAAGGACATATTTCATTGGGCAAATCTGCTGCAAAAGACCTCTTTAAAAGTATTAAAAAGCAAGGATGTCACTTTAAGGACTAAGATGCACCTGACCCAAGTCGTGGTCTTTTCAGTTGCCTCATGTACATGCGAAAGCTGGACAATGAATAAGGAAGACCAAAGATGAACTGATGCCTTTGAATTATGGTGTGGCTGAAGAATATTGAATATACCATGGAACGAACAAATCTGTCTTGCAAGAAGTACAGATAGAATGCTCCTTAGAAGTGAGGATGGCAAGACTTCGTCTTACATACTTTGGACATGTTATCAGGAGGGACCAATACCTGGAGAAGACCATCATTCTTGGTAAAATAGAGGGTCAGCAAAAGAGAGGAAGACCCTCAAAGAGATGGATTGACACAGCGGCTGCAACAATGGGGTCAAACATAGCAATGATTGTGAGGATGGCGCAGGACAGGGCAGTGTTTCGTTCTGTTGTACATGAGGTGGCTGTGAAGGACTGTTGTACGCAGGGTCGCTGTGAGTCAGGACAGTGTGTTTAGTATTTGGATCACAGCACATACCTCTCTGCAGAGCAGGCGTCAGGAATTAGTTGTCAGACCAGGTTCTGCTTTCCTTTTCCAGCCTAAACCCTATGAGACTTAATGCTGACTTTATTCATTTCACATATTTTAAGCTGCCACTTAGAATTTATTGATTTTATTTTTCCAGAGTCACATTTAGCAACCCAGCTCAAGTCTGAGAGGACTCCTAATAGATGTTAGAGAATGTATTGTTAAATTGCTATTTTTACTATAAAATGCTGTAATTTAGGGGATTACCCATTTGATGTTGTGGAGGGTGATGTGCATGCACATTAAATGCAAGGAAAACACTGATTAGTCTCTAAGTAAAGTGAGTTGTGAAGATGTGCTAAAGGTCAGGAATGTTACATGTGTGGAACAGGGCAGATTCTATAAGTAAATAATAACGTACCATCATTGTGTGTGTGTGCCGTGACCAAGGCATGACAAGGGGACTTTGTGAGCCCAAAGGAAGGCCAGGAATGAAGGGAGGAGGATGTGGAGAAAAATTGATAAAGTTTCCCTAGAGATGTTAATGGAGCCCTGGTGGCACAGTGGTTAAATGTTTGGCTGCTAAGCAAAAGGTTGGCAGTTCGAATCCACCAGCTGCTCCTTGGAAACCCCATGGAGCAGTTCTGCTCTATCCCATAGGATCGCTATGAGTCAGAATTGACTCAACAGCAACAGATAGAGATGTTAACACTTAGGCTAAGTTTTGAAGATTGGGTAGGGATTGGCCATTTGAAAAAGGTGGCATGGGAGGGAGAAGGATGAGGCCAAGATACAGCAGAGATGAGCTTGGAGACCAGGCAAGATCCAAACCATGAGGCTTTGACTGTGTGTTCAAGAACTTGGATCTTAGCCTGAAGGAGATGGGGATCCAGTCGTTGAAGTCATTTGAATAGGGAAGTGGTGTGATGTGCTTTTTTGAAACTGTGCAAAGCTACATTTTAGAAAACTACCTCTAGTATAGCAGTGTAGGGGGTTAAACTACAATCAGAGAGGCCACATAGCAATATTGCAGTAATACAGGTGAGAACTGAAGAATGCCTGGGCAGTAGGGATGGATAAACAGGTGGATATACGAGGTATTTGGAGGTGGGCATAACAGAATTTGATACCCAGTGGCTGAGTGATGGTAGAGTATAGACATCAGTTAGAGTTGATCTTGTTGATGTTGCCACACATACCTAACACAAGATATTGGACTACCAGCAAAATTGTACTCTGCAAAGAGTGCTGATGATTTGCTTAGTCCTTTAAATATAAATTATCTTTAATGATGTTATCCAAGGATCCCCAAGAGGAACTGAGTAGTCTGCCTGTCGTGTGTATCAAGCTCAGACAGATGATGCCAGTGTTATATTCATAATGGCTTGCTTAGGGTTTCGAAGAATGGAGGCAAGATAGACTAACTAATTATGAATTCTGCAGTGTGAAGGATAACATTACAAGTTTCTCCTTCTAATTTAATAGCTGTTCCACAACAGATACTGCTTTAAGAAACTTCCCTTTTTGATCAAAGATCCATTGTGCCAGGATAGCATTTTCTTGGGGTAGGACATTGTCAGAATGTCTCTCAATGTGAGAATTCAGACCATTGTCAACTCTCTGCAGGAGGATGCTGAGGTGACCAAAGGTTTTGAAGAAGATGTAGAGACTCCACCAACAAGAAGCATTCCTTCTCCTGGACAGTTGGACCCAGACACACGGATCCCTGTGATAAATCTAGAAGATGGGACTAGGCTGGTGGGGGAAGATGCTCCTAAAAATAAGGATTTAGTTGAATGGCTTAAACTGCATCCTACTTACACTGTTGATATGCCAAGTTATGTACCAGTAAGTATTTCAGAGTTTGGAGTTGGAAGGAATCCTCACAGGCAGTTCAGTTCCCTCTCCCACATGACATCAACATCCCTGACAGTGGTCCCTCTGCCTTTTGCTTGAACGTCGTGAACATTTCACAGTTTTTCATCATTGTATCTCCTACATCATTGTTGTTGTTGTGTGCCATCGAGTCGACTTCGACTCATAGTGACTCCATGTGACAGAGTAGAAGTGCCCCCATAGGGTTTTCTAGGCTGTAATCTTTTCAGCAGATCACCAGGTCTTTTCTCCCATGGAGCCTCTGGGTGGGTTCCAACCACCAATCTTTCGGTTAGCAGCTGAGTACTTAACCATTGTACCACCAGGACTCCTTGTCTTCTACATTAGAGTAGATTCAAGACTGTCCTACTGAGGGGCAGCTGAATAGTTATCCACAGGTGGCTATCCTGCATCTGCTTACTCCTCTTCTTCCACCAAACAAACATGGTTTCTTCAGGAATTCTTCATATGGCCTGACTTTCATGTGGCCTTGTTATTGGGATAACACCTTGGAATGTGTTTTAATTGGTCTCCAGACAAGTTCTGAGCAGCAGAAGGTACTATAAAGCTGTTTCCTCCGGAGGTTTGATCAGTTAATTCAGCCCAAGGTTTTATTAGCTTCTTTTTAAGCAACTAAATAACACTTGTGCTTTATATTAAACATTTGACAATTAGTATCTCCAGATGATTTGTCACATACACTGTTTGCTAGCTAGTAGAACTAATCTTTTATCTCCTATGCTTATGTGGTTGATTTTTAAAACTTAAATGTAGGATTTTTATTGAGTGCAGCCAGGTGTTCTGCCTATCTGAATGCCCCCTCCCGCAAAGATGCTCTTACTCCTTGTGTTAGTTCTCCTTACATGCAGTTTTGTGTTGTCAGATGTGATGTCATCTCTGTGTTCATTTAAGTCACTGACTAGAAGTTAGTAAATATACTATAGAAAGTGGCCTTCAAAGATGCCATGGCTTGGTTAAACATTAGAGGAAAAAAACTTAAGTATGGTTATTGATAAATAAAAGGAAAAGCAGATTCTCAGCTTATGTGCTCGCTTTGTTCCTTAATGCATGGGGGTGGGGAGGAGAGGGAATAGTTTTTCCTTTCAAAAAAAAGTAAGATTTCTGATAATTAAAAAGATTCTTGAAACTTCCATAATAATCAAAGATGCTTGACTGTTCTCTTTGTCAGATATGTAGGAAAGAGTATGTACTAAATAGATTCCTTTTTTTTTTTTTTGCAGAAGAATGCAGATGTGCTGTTTTCCTCATTTCAGAAACCGAAACAGAAACGACATAGATGTCGAAACCCTAATAAATTGGATATAAACACTTTGACAGGAGAAGAAAGGGTGCCTGTTGTCAATAAACGAAACGGGAAGAAGGTAAAATGTTGGAAAAGGGAATTTGACCTCTATGTATTTCTTAACTCAAAAAGAAGTGTTTTTACCTGCCATAATTTTTAAGGAAATAGAATCATGTTTTTTCCAGAATCTATATCTATCCATCTAGAGAACAATTTGAGGTTTTTTTTTTTTTTAATTGTTTTTCAAATGTTTCTCCCCAGATGGGTGGAGCGATGGCCCCTCCAATGAAGGATCTACCCAGGTGGCTGGAGGAAAATCCTGAATTTGCAGTTGCCCCAGATTGGACTGATATAGTTAAGCAATCTGTAAGTACAAGCTCCACATTTCTGTCAAAAATGGTATCTATACAAAACTTTTCCTGAATTTTCATTATTTTCCGTTGCCCATTAGTTGTTCATTTGTAAAAGTTCTTAGCTTTAGAGAATTGACAGTAATACAACATCTTCCTACATCATTGAAAAGATCAGCATTTCATATATCCGTGCCCCTTCAGTCCAAAGTGGATTGATTAGAAGGATTCTGTAGACATTTCTGTTCATAGTGTTGGAGGTAGACTTACGACAGGAAGGAACACCCCATGTAAGCGTACTTAACATCCCATCTGTGGAATAGAGTTTATGATGGTGGAGATCCTGAAGATTGTTAACTGTGATTTCTGATTTTTTAAACAAACAAAAAATACAACAGTCTCCTAAAATTTTTTTCACTATTTCTTTTGAAAATTAATTTGTTAATGATGAGCTGATTCCTTTTTTATTTGTTTAAATTATCCTCCAGTACAACTGACTTATTTTTCTTTTAGTATAAGTTACGTGAATTTTAACCCATGTATAGACTCATGAACAGCCACCATAATCAGAATACAGAATAGTTCCATCACCCCGAAACTTCTCTTGTACTATCCTTTATTGTCACCCTCTCCGCTACTCCTAACCCCTGACAACCACTGGTCTGTTCTCCCTCCCTAACCTTTTGTCTTTTTGATAATGTCATATAAATCGAAGCATAAAGTATGTAACCTTTTGAGATGGCTTCTTTCACTCTTTGTAATGTCTTTGAGACTCATCCAAGTTGTTGTGTGTATCAGAAGCAGGGGTTTGAACTGGTTCTTCCCAGTTCAGTCATGGCTGAGGAAGCATAACTGGAACAGAGCCGAATTTTTAAAGTTCCAGTGAACCAGAAAGATAGCCAGAATAAGAAAAATTAGGAGTCAAAGCCCTGCTAGAAACTTAATCTCTAAGAGAACAAGGGCAGCTTATATGTTGCATAGCAACCAAGTCTCTTGCCCTTGGATTTTGAGCACAGTTCCAAGCAGTGCTGCGTGGCTCAAAGATGGTGATGCCCTGCTCAAAGATAGCGCCGCCCCGCTCAAAGATGCTGGCCAACCGTGCAGCTTTGAATGTGTGTTGCTCTCCTACAGTCCTGTCAATAATCCAGTCTCATGCATCAGGCTCCTGAAAGGGCTCCCTACGCCACTTCTGAGTCTCCCATTCCAGGGCTTTGTCTTGTAATTTTTCCCATTCCAGGTACCGTGCTGAATCTGCCAAATTGTAAAACTTCGTGTCTCTTCATATGTTGCTTTGTTGGCCCTGACTGAACCAGTTCAAACCAGTTTGAAGCCCCGATCAAAAGTTTGTTCCTTTTTATTACTGAATAGTATGCCATTGCAGGGATATACCACAGTTTGTTTATCCATTCTACCACTGGAAGACATTTGAATGGTTTTCAGATTTTGGCAATTAGAATAGAGCTGCTATAAACATTGATGCACAGGTTTTTGTGTCAATATAAGTTTTCACTTCTCTAGGATAGCTACTAAACTGTAATTTTCATTAATCAAATTTTTCATGTCTCAGCTACTTTCTGATGCATTATTTAAGTTAATCATGGATGCAGATAGCTGGACATTTGCCTCTGATAGAATACCCTTTAAAAGTTTTTTTGGGAGGAGGGGGTTCAGCATAATTCAGTGAGCTAATGTAAAACTAAAAATCAGAATTTTTGCTTTCATGAGTTTTATCATTGAGCTTTCAGACTGGAAATGATTGCTTCTATGTTTCCATTTGGAGTGCCAGTTTTAGTTCATCACAAAAGCCCGTATCAAAATTTTACATTCAGGACTACTTGGGAAAATGGGTATGTGATTTACACAAAGAAGTAAAAGATAGGTAAAATTTTAGTCATTTTTAAATGCTCGTAGTATAGGAGTGCTCTGGTGGTTAAGAGTTTGGCTGCTAACCAGAAGGTCATCGGAGCCTCTCCGGGGGAGAAAGATCTGCTTCCATATAGATTACAGACTTGGAAACTCTGCGGGGGCAGTTCTACTCTGTCCTATAGGGTCACTATGAGTTGGAATCGACTACAGGGCAATGGTTTTTGGGTTTTTTTGTTTTGTTTTTTTTTGGCGTATAGGAGCCCTTGAGTGGTGCAAATGATTAAGTGCTAGACTGCTAACTGAAGGGTTGGTTGTTCAGACCCACCCAGAGGCATCTTAGAGGAAAGTCCTGGCCGTCAGCTTCCGTGGTGCCAGTGCCACAGGCCTTACGGGGCAGTTTTTCTCTGCACAAGTGGTGTCTCCATGAGCCCTGACTTGACGGCAGCTAACAACAGCAGTTGGGTCATGCATGGTCTACATAAATCATAGGTGTAAACTTTGGTTTTCGTCAGCAACTTCAATACCGTTGTTGGCCTGTCTTTCCTGCAGGGCTTTGTTCCGGAGTCCATGTTTGACCGTCTTCTCACTGGCCCGGTGGTGCGGGGAGAGGGAGCAAGCCGAAGAGGAAGGCGGCCGAAAAGTGAGATCGCCAGAGCAGCCGCAGCCGCTGCCGCTGTGGCCTCCACGTCGGGCATCAACCCTCTGCTGGTGAACAGCCTGTTCGCTGGGATGGACCTCACCAGCCTCCAGAACCTCCAGAGTCTCCAGTCTCTCCAGCTGGCAGGGCTCATGGGCTTCCCTCCAGGACTGGCAACAGCTGCTGCGGCCGGAGGCGACTCTAAGAACCCGGCGGCCGTACTGCCGCTGATGCTGCCTGGGATGGCGGGCCTGCCTGGCGTGTTCGGGCTCGGTGGGCTGCTCAACGCCCCGCTGTCGGCCGCCGCAGGGAACGCCGCCCCCGGCCCCGGGCAGGGCGACCCGGAGGACGGCACTGCAAAAGCGGAAGAGAAAGGCAGTGAGAATGACGACGAGAACAAAGACTCCGAGAAAAGCACAGATGCTGTTTCGGCTACTGACTCTGCGAATGGATCTGTTGGTGCTGCTACTGCCACGGCGGGGTTGCCCTCCAACCCGCTGGCCTTCAACCCTTTCCTCCTGTCCACGATGGCCCCCGGCCTCTTCTACCCGTCCATGTTTCTACCTCCAGGCCTGGGAGGGTTGACACTGCCTGGGTTCCCCGCGCTGGCAGGACTGCAGAACGCCGTAGGCGCCGGGGAGGACAAGCCTGCCGACAAGGCTGAGGGGGCCCCCTTCAAAGACGAGGAGACCCTGGAAGGCAGTGACGCCGAGGAGAGCCTGGATAAAACTGCCGAGTCCTCCGTCTTAGAAGATGAAATAGCACAGGGCGAAGAGCTAGACTCACTCGATGGGGGGGATGAAATGGAAAACAACGAAAATGATGAATAACCAGTACCAGTTCCAGTTAAAGTGTTTAAACTTTTGACAAGTGGTAGTCCTACTGTTTACACTCACAGTTAATGTTCATACCTAGTTTTATAAGCTGTTCTGTAACATAGTGTAGCAAAAAAAAAAAAAAAAGTCCAAGTCATGTTATACAGGTGTGTCAAAAGGTATCTTGGTCATTAAGTATTGTGCAGTGCATTATTTATTATCCCTAGGAAAGATGAAATTTGAGAGGTGATCATGTCTTTTTAAGGAAACTTACATAATGCTCTGCTGTTGTTTTTTTTTTTTCCTCCTTTTGGTACCATTGGTATTATAATAAAAGAGCAATTTGTAACTGAGTGGCACTAATGGAAGGAAGTGCTGCTTAAAGGAAGTATGAAGTTATATATTTAATTTTTTAATTTTAAATTTTTTTTGCTGTGAAGGTCAAGATGAAATTTACCATACATATCATACTTGCTCATGCTTTTCCTTTTTGACTGTATGGGGGTTCCCACACTTGCTCATACACACACATACATACACTCTGACAATCTCCACGTTAGTGTGAACGTCTCTGTCCCGAGACACAGCAATAATAAGGCAGCTGTTGAATGTGAAGGGTCCCTTTGGAAATTACCTACTGGGAGGGTTCTTGCCAGATAGAACTACAGTTCCATTGTCTCGTGATATTGTAATGCACTGGTATAAACAAATAGATAAGTAAATAAAGAGTGAGAGAAGAGAGAATCAGGTACCTTTTTTAAATTAAAGGACTTTGTTACTTTAGCCACAAAGCTAAACAGCATTACCTCAGCTCTAAACTAGCCTTGAAGTTTACAGACATGACTTTGTAAATGTATTGTTTTTTTTTTTTTGTTGTGATGTCCTTTTATTTTTTTCTTTGAAAACTGCTATCATGTAAGATAAAATGTAAATTGCTGCCAACTGTAGTAATGATGCTTTTAATAAAAGTGACCCATGATATGCAGAGATGTAATTATAGAATGTAGTATGTAGGGGAGCTGGTGTTCACTCTATTTTTTGTATTCGCAATAGATGCAAATACAGCATTCTGGCTTTTGTACAGTTTCTTGATATATCCTCTTATACTAGATTAGCTGTTAGTAATACTCTAAACTGATTGTCCTCAAAACTAGACAGGAAGAAAAACCTTGAACTACCTTCACAGAATTCTACCAGATATCAACAGAGAAACACACACAGAAACCTCCCATTACGGCCTCAAAAGGGCATCTGAGACTGGGAATACTTACAGATGTGTGCAGTGTCTGATAATGTGGTACACGAAAGAACAAAGGCCAAAAGAAAAATGAGGTTTTAATAGGCACAATATCTAGGTCATTTATCCTTGGTTAATGGGTAGAAAAACACAATGCTGTAGTGTCAGCAAGGGACACAAAGGCGCCTAGTGTCCTGCAGACCAGAGCTTGATGCCAGAAACCAGTGTGTAGAAAAACCCACGTGGGATTTGAACAGACCCCTTCAGCGAGCACGCACGCATGCACACACACACCCCACCACACAGTCTGATCTTGAGAGCTACTGATTTGTATGCAGTTTATGACCTTTAAGATAAAATATAATTTGAGATCTGTTTTCACTGTTTTATGTCACCTGTACAAACACAAAACCATATTTTCATCCAGTGAAAAGGAAGAGGAAGGAGGTAGACAAAGTTGTTTGTGGCGTCATCGATACCCTCTCTGCAGTATACAGACACAGGCCATCCTCCTTGCCCTCCATGTGTTACAAGAGATTTTTGAACAAAGAGATTCAGTTAATTTATACCCCAAGTTGAAAATGTACCCGTTATGATCCTGGAGGAGGAACCACTTGAAACCGCCCATAGAGCCTATCGGCAACGTCATCATCATTGGTGTCTCTTGAAAGTTACTTACTTAATAAGCCCTGGTGGTGTAGTGGTTAAGAGCTACAGCTGCTAACC